CAAAAAGTTGCAACAGTCGTCCTGTGTGCTTGTGTCGACGGACGGATGAGTTCGTGTGTGCATAGACGGAGATGGATGATAAGTTTTGGGCGTAGTAGAGTGGTAAGCGGCAACTTAGTACATGTGCCTAGTGATGTAGCGGCTCCTTACCGGGGCAGATCACGGCAGGCAAAGTAGCCGTAGTTGCTCATCATCATGACTCCAGAAGCTAGCAGCAGTAGTGATAATAGCAAGTACGTACACTAGGTAGTTGGTTGCTATGCAGTAGTGGTAATAGAGCATGAGCAGGATTTTCGACGGACTGAGGGCCCGTTGCTAACCACGACTCCACGAGCCAGCTTCCCAACTGGCTTCTAGTGCTAGCCCAGCTTTCAGCCTATTCCCTCTGTGGCGCTGGTTAGCGAGTGTGCATGATAATTGGCAGTAGATCCCCCGCTGGAAGCGGCAGGCCTGCCAGTCACCACACGAAGCACTTGGCAATAAGCTCTGTTGTGACGGTTAGGGAGCAGCCGGTGGGTGCAAGTGATACAGCCGGACTGGCGAGCCATTCGGCTGATCAACCTTGGGATGTGTGCCGGACATTTGCTTTTGTGCCTGGGATGATGACTCTCTCTCTCTGTCCTTCGCGCGCGCACACACACACACACTCTCTCTCTCTCTTGTGCAACTGCGAAATGAGTCTTTGTCGAGGCTGAAATAACACCTTCTATTGTGTGAATTAAACCGAGAAGTGGGTTTGTATGGGTTATTTTGCTTTGCATCCCATGTTACCGAATACGGTTATCCACCACACACGCCAGCACGGCATATCCCTCCTCACCCCTACCAACTACCTTGCCCAGTTGCTGGAGTACCCCTACCTTTGACATGGGCTGCTACGGTACAGCTCAACTCTATTGCTCTCCGAGCATCTGGATGGAGCGAAGTGTTAGCCTCTCCTGGGCTCTCGTTAGCGCACGGCGGCAAATCTCCCGTCCGAGGTGCGAGGGAACTCTTTTGCTCGCGTGCGGCATGAGAGCCCTCTTTTGGCCAAGTGTCATAACCCCCCTTGAAGGGATGACGCGCCCTCTCGCCCAGAACAATCACCGGCCAGGAACTGTGAGAGAAGAAGACTGGATTTCTAACCGAACAAACCAATAGGGAGCACACCCGAATCGTTTGGCACTCTTTGGAGCTCCGGTCAAATCTGATCATAACCCACCAGTAACAGTGATAGATGAAATCGAGCTGAGTTCCTGTGGTTAATGAGAGCCAGGGTTTTTTTTATTGTGTTGCTCGCAGGACGTTGAATGTTAGTTTGGGACCAACGTCGAGAGTAGACGAGACGGGAGAGATGTAGAGATGAGATGATGATATCTGGTCTGAGCACATACGTACTCGTAACTAACGGGCGAGTTGAGATGCGTTGAACAAGAAACAGGGCGGCTAACACCGTGTCTGATTGTCAGTGGTTGTACCTCTAGTCAAGGCAGCAAGTCAAAGTGCCCATCTAACAGTTATGTACGGAATAGGAAGACAGACAGTCTTGCCTGTAAGAGAGGGGGTAACAAAGAACAGGGGGCCCTTTTCTTCCATCGCGCAAATGCCAGTATCGGGTGTACCACTACTGCGCGCTAGAAATAGACACAGGAGGGGTCCCACAGGCACCCGGGGCGCTGGGAAGGCGCTAACCAATCTCTCTGCCGGCACACACACACACAACCGGACACATACATGCGTCTCTGCTTCTGGCTTATCAGCCGTCCAATATGCATTAAATTTTTATTGGCGGCCCCGTGTACCTTTTGTAGGGGAAGTCAAGTAGTATTTGGCTGACGTCTGTTTTCAATTCCCGATCACAAGCGGCTTGATCGTTCCGCTGAGCGATGTCGCCGTTTTCCTTGACCAATCCCGCTAAACGAAGATTCCCTTCTAACCACCTTATGTTGAGATATATTCTAGTTTGATAATGCCGCTCTGCCGTGGAAGTTGTTCGATTTGAGATTACCACTACCACCCAAGTTACGTGCGTAATAATGTGCGTTATTGCGGAGCTCACTACCACTGCTACTACCTACACTACTACTACTACTACCCAACCAGATCACTAATACTAACTTCTTTCTTAAATCCAGCGCTCTTGGCTCGGAACCCCTCTTTGGCCCTTTGTGATTACCCTCTTACTAACCCAAACTCATGTATTCTGGGCCGTCGGGCGGCTCCTGACTCGCCTCGACTCGACTGGGGGCCCAGCGCGGCCTAATGTAGACAGCGACCCGAGGCTGATGGGCATCCATCTCCCCCATCATATGTAAGAAATCAAAGATCCAATTCATCCACCAGAAGAAGAAGAGAGGGAAAAAAAAAAAAAAAAGATCCCTGCCAGCCAGCAGCATATGCCCCATGCTCATGCCGAACCCTCCCCCCCTCGATCTACTGCTACGTACTGCGTATTGTTATTACTGCATGTACTACCCATTTTTGTATACACAAAATCGTTCGTTGCATTCTGCGGCTCAATCCGACTGCCCGACAGACAAACCATCAGACGGACAGCTGAGCTGCAATGTAATGGTCGAAGCTTTCCCGTCCATTGCACCTTCCTTGGTTGTCTAGGTATGTGTACACCAAGCGAAGAATAAAGAATAAAAAAAAAAGGCAAAGATATTGCACATGCTACCAAACCTACTAACCTACATGTGTGTCCAAATTGCTACCAGTATTTTATTCCTACAACACACTTGGAGCCAACAATTTTGGAATGTGGCGGTACTGGTTTTTCTTTTTTCTTTCTTCCTCCGTCTCATATTCCTTATTTTACTCGGTACCTTGAATACTCTGTACTGTACTGTACTACCTTGGCCACGAGGAATCTCACACTCAAATGCTTCCTGCCAAGTGCATCCTTCGCCTGCTGGCTGGCGTGACTCCGTTTGTAACCCGGGCTCGCTGCTGGCGGCTGCGGCTGTTGCCATTGCGTGCTGGCTGCTCCCCAAGCTCCTGCTCCCCATGGCATGACTGGGATCCTCTCATTTCCTCGCCCAACCCCATACATCATGCCATCAGAAAATCTCAAGCCTCAAAGGACCCTGCGTCGTGTTCAGGCCAATGGCGGGCGCGTTGGCTACGGCAAATTTGTGCAAGCGATGGGAGGAGAAACCCACATGGGATCACTTCGACTCGGCCACAGCCCCATCCAAACCATCCTCACACCCATCGTTGCTCAGACATCTTGGTCCGCCGGACATTATCCCGGGAATCGCTCCCTGGGCGCTACCTGCCGGCGCTCCACCCCTTCCCCCATCGGTCAGCCATTACATAGCATACTAGAATCACCGTAATGTCGTCCGTCTGTCATCACCCTCGTCGACCAGGCCGTGCCTCATCAGGGCCTCTATGCCCCTCTCCCAAGCAGCCAAGAAGGTAAGCACATTAAGAGGTAGGTAGGTGGGTGTACGTAGGTAGGTAGGTGTCATGCCCTGGCCCATTGATTGCTCAGCAGGCCAACAATGCATTCATTCATTATATTCTAGCTCAGTCTGGTGGCCTCGACACTCTGGAAGCGGACATCAGCCACTCTCAACGGATGTACCCAGCTTATATCCCATGACTGCTCCAGCCTCCTTGCAGCATGCTTGCCGTCAATAATAACACGCGGCTACAGGAGATGGGGTCTCCGTTACCCGCATGGCCTGACTACATACTATGGTGAAAAGAGCATGCTGCTTTGCCTACACTCCTTCGAGACCACTTCGCGAGCTCTAAATTGGCACATGCTGGGGTCGCGTCTAGGTAGCCCAGCCCAGCCCAGCCCACAACAGGCCGGCTTTGTAGGCGGCCGCCAGAGCACTATGTAAGTAGGTACATGCTAAAGCCAAGAGCCTAGAAGCATCAAGCTACGTGCATACATACATGGCCTGGCTGCTTGCAGGCTTTTGGAGATATGTACGTACCGACCTGCCTGTGTGCATGGCCTACTACTCGCCTACCTACCGCCCGGATGGATGCCCAGTCCAGGACCTGAATGCTACTATGAGCTAGATTATTAGCACCTTGTTGTGTCGGTGCCGACAGAGGCTAGCTAGTCAAAAGGGTTCGTCGACTTACCAGGGATCATCAATTTCTCGCTCGCTTGCCGAGCACACATAGTCAGGAAAAATCACGGCCGAGTCTACCTTGTTTTGGGCATGGCGCCCCCAGCCAAGGAGATATTGCGTGGGTGTTGTAAGTGACTAGGAACACACTTCAACGTATTGCATCCTCACCTGAACTCCCGTTTCATCAGCAGGCCCATCGCCTGTCCTCGGGTCATATTTCTCTACATTACTCCTTCGGCCAATACTGTAAGTATAGTGCCGGTCTACACGGGAATTGCCCAAAAAGCCTGCTTACGCTGGCCGCCCCATAAGACACACGCATTGTCCTTCCTACATCATCTCTCTCACCAACCACTGCTTGGACCCATTTACGAACTACACCACATAACGACACTAGGCTCAGATACATACTTCTTACTGCCCTCACACACCTGACTTCTTTTTTCCTTTTCCTCCTACACACAACAACAACAACTTGACATCAACATCAGCATACATATACCCAAGAAGGGAAAAGGAAAAAACAAAGAAGAAGAAAGAGCAAGAAGACTTGTACAGAATTAGGAACCATCAACCACGTCCTCAAAAAGCTATACCCCGTATATATGGCCACCAACTGATCGAGGCGCGCGCTTGCTTGAAGATTAGCCGGAATTTGTAATATTCGCAACCGAACTGATATTGGACCGTCTAGACCGATAGACATATACCGAGACGGACTGTACCGTATTACTGCTTGTTACAACCCATCTGACGAAAGAAGGGGATCAGATTTCCCTCGCTTCAAGGATCAAATCTCCTTGTCTCAACGCTGCATCTTCTTCACATTTACAGACTCAGCGACAGGTTTCCGTATCCAATATCCAAGCCGGTCCAGGTTGAGTCTGGACATGCAAAGGAGTCCAACAACATTGCATCGTACCAATGGGGATTTCTAGGATAGATATCCACCGCTCTTTAGTCACCCCGGATACGCCTCCTCCCGAACTAGAGAGTCACAACTATATATCTGCTTTTCCCACCAAGGTTCACGCGGGTCAGACGTGGAACGGCATCGTGCCCATCTCTCCACCTATGTCCAGCTATGACAAGAGCTTCAAGCCTGACATGTCAGCTGGGAAGAATTTGGAAGGGTCCACCGCTCGACAGGATGCCGTCCACGGCGCACCTCGGCAGCAGCTGCCGTCGCTGAGCAGTTTATTTGGTCCTCCGGGTCAGATGCGTCCTCTACACTCACCACATTCAGATCGGCCAAGTCCTCTGAGGTCACCCCTTGACCGGCCTGCCTCTGCCTCTGCCGCCTCGGAAAGGTCATACTCGAACTCGTACTTCCCCAGTGTCTCGACGCCCTCAACTCAGCCGCGCGGTGTTTACGAATCGAGAGTTGAACCCGACAGGATCTCCCTTCCATCGGTCGCACCACGCTTCCCCGGGCCCCTCTCTCCAAGGCTACCAGATGGCGAGCGGGCACACGCTATATCGCGCAATGATTCGACCACGTCTAGCGCAAGATGGTCCAGTCAGTCAAGCCTTTCGGATGCGAGGAGGCCCGAGTATGTCCTTGGAACACGGGAACCGGCCACGTCTTTCCGGCCTGTGAACGATCGACTACCTTACAATCTACCTCATGGTCGGAAACGTAGTCATGAATCTCTGGTCGACTACCGAGAGCCGGCGCAAAGGCACCCACAGACCCCGGGTCATGCACCAGGCTCCTTCCCGGTTACCGCTTCCGAGGCGGCACCGGTCAAAGACGGTCTGGGCCCAAAGATCTGGACTGGGACGCAATTTTTGCCACGATTTGTGCGGCAGGCAGAGGTACCGGGAGAGGGTCTTTGCTACTTTTATGACGACGGCTCGCACTGTAAGACCGTTATTGATGGGGAACAGGTGAATGCACACTGGGGAGTCACCAAGGCCGGAAAGCCCAGGAAGCGACTTGCCATTGTAAGTGTTGATAAGCAAAGCAGAACGTGCAGGTTCTACTGGTGTTTAGGATAACATGGACTAATTGTGCTTAAGGCTTGCTTAACCTGTCGCGAGAAGAAGATCAAGTGCGATCCCGACTTTCCTCGCTGTGTACAATGCGAAAAGTTTGGCAGAGTTTGCAAATTCAAGAATGCGTAAGTTGTTCTTGTCAGTGCATCGTCTTGGAGAACTGCGGTATCTAACAATTAGAAGCCCCCGAGGCGGACACAATACTTCTCCGGCGAGTTCGCCAGGCGTCCCGATGATATCACAAACCGCAGATGGCGAATATAGACACCCGAGGAGCCCATCCAGTACCTCAGTATCCCCAAGAACCACGACTCTCCCTCGACCTTCGACAGAGAACTCTGACGGAGCCGGCAAACGGGTGCGCGTCGACTATGAGCATTATCAACCAGCTACGAATGAGGCGGCGGCATCGTACCAACCACACGAAAACAAGCGAGCACCATTGTCATGGCACCAACGAGAACTTCCACGCGTCCATGAGGACCTTCTCTGCCGGACATGGCCAACCGATTCGTACGTAGCAACCCCCTTAATGATGGAACCAAAGTCGCCGTAATGTGGACTAACATGAGTCTCAGGAGACATCACGCACCGTTATAGTGCTGAATGTTCAACGTAATCGTTTGACTAATACCGAACGTTTTCCTGTGGTGGAAGAACTCGATCACGGCTACTTTCATCGCCATGGCTCAACCGAATATTTCGAACACGTTCGGCTATACACACGAAACGCTCGCAAAGGCACATTCAAACAATACTTGGCACATTTGGCCATTTGAGGCCAGCCATGATATTAACAACTCGCCACCTGTTTACTTGGGCATAGCTCATAGAAGGGTTGATTTGGCGGCTCGATCAAACAACTATCAAACCATCAGGGTGTAACCCTCCGAGGGACGGCCAGCTGGGTGGCCGTTCACCAAATCCGTCTCTCTCACATGGCATCTTGTACGAAATTTCCAAGAGATTTCAGGGGAAAGCGCGATTACAGTAGGAGGCGGATACGATTTATGCATTATAAAACGGCGTTTGTTTGTATGGGGTGCATTTTCAGTATTGGCCAATACCTTGAAAAGAAAACGGGTTAGGAACCGGCACAACATTTTTTTATAGGCGCTCAGAGGGAATGGTCCATCTATGCATCTGGGTTTGGGCAGATGAGATATTGGGGGAAAGGCCCCTCCCGTTTTTGTGATCATTGGGATCACCTGTTATTCTTGTTATTCTTGTTATTCGCCTTGTTGGGGCACGAAATACCCAGTTGCTTTTATAGCAGCTCTTACTGTGTATATCTAGCTATTTGTAGCCTGGGTGATATCCAAGAAATCAACCAAGTGTATACTCACCACGTATTCTCTCCCCATTGTCCGTTGAAATCATGGAAATCCGTACTCAGAACAGGGTATAGCATGGCTGCACTAATACGTTCAGGGTGTGTCTAGGCAGGTCCCACATTGTCGCGTACCTGAGTGAGGATCAGCAGTAATCCATTCTTCCCCCGATAATCTTAATCTAGGCTTTTCCTTGACTGAAAGAAAGAAGAAGACGAAAGAGTCTGGTCCCCGTCGAGCCCGTCCCATTCCCATGTTCTCCGCCACAATGGTTCGATGGGCAAAGAGGAGACCTAGATTGTTCAAAACGGTATCTTGTCCCGATTTTCCACTGTTTCTTTAGACTTCGTGGGAAAAAAAAAAACAGACACCCCACCTCCGAGAGCTGAAAAAACCAAAGTCTCCATTCTTCCCCTGTCGAGGTTTTTTTTTTTTTTTTTTCCCTCATATCCCGATCATAAGCTGAATGGTGGATATGGGCCTAAACAATGGCAACAGCAATAATGAACCATGAGAACAACAACAAGAGGAGCACGGGGACGGCGAGAGGCAGTGTTTGTATCCGGCAGGTCTAGAATATCTCGTCTGCTCCGGTTGTCAGGTCTTCGGACCATGCCGTAACCTCGGAAGTAAATACCATGACTTTTCTTTTTTCCCTCCTTGGTTCCCCCCTCTTAACATCATATCATGGAGGGGCAATGCCCCCGATACCCCTCCCCGGAATCGCAACATCACTTCGCATTTGTTGGTATTGAATTTGATTCTTTTTTTTTTTTTTTTTTTTTTTTTCCTTCCTCCTCTTCCCCTCTTCCAAAGTCCACCCATGTGAGTTTATTGGATCTCTCCCGGCGAATTACCTCGGAATTTCCGCGCCAGCTGACCGTCGAAGACGCAATCCGAGGCGTGGCAAACAAAGGGAAGAATGAAAAGAAAACATGGAAAAGTTTGTCATGTCACAATTAAACCCCATGCTATAGAATCCACAAATCCATGCCGAAATGGACGGGGTTTAAAAAAAAAAAAAAGAATGAAAAGAGCCTCCCCGTGAGTTTGTCACTTTGGAAATGCCGGATATAACGTACGGGATGCAAAGAAACCCGGCAGCCCGAATTCTCCGATGAATAAGCGAATCCTTCTCTGTTTCTCCACATATAAAACGGACATGACCGTGTGTCTCTTTTTACTTTTCACAATGGCTTAGCTGATACAAGCAGGCCGTTTCCCTGACAAGCTCTTTTTTTTTTATAGCTTATCTCGTATTAGTTCGTAATTGAACCCGAATGAACCCAACGACCGTCGGAAAAAAAAGTCAAGACTCGGCGGGAAAGAAAGAAGAAAAAAAGAGTTAGTGGGCCGGCAAGAGCCGAACCAGGCAGCCTGGTCATGTTTCCACATTAAAATGCCTGCTGGGGGGAAAGGCAGGGAACAAGGGACCAAGAGAACGACGTGGGTTTTTGGTTTCCATCATAATCGTAAATTCCCCAAATATGAAAACCGCAGAGATTTTTTTTTATTTTCCTCCCCCCGTCCAAAGTGTCTACCGGCCGGGAGTGGGCGCGACGGCCGAGGCATCTCTTTCTTCAACCCCTTGTCGGCCAATCAAACTTTGTACATTTTTAAATGTCATGCTTACGTATGCACCGGCCGGGGGACATGTTTTGCATGAAAATTCCCAAGGGCCCCTCCTCCCCAAATGCGAAAAAAGTATCGGCCGAAACGTATTGCGTGGTAAGCATACGTGGTTCGGACATGCGAGCATAACGGAGATGGATGCGGGCGGGGAAATTACAATCCTTTGGGACACAAATCCAACTCGAGTCAGGATTACCGCGCAGCCAATGAGATGAGCAGTCTTTGCTCCGGACGGATCGCTCTCTCAGCTTATCTCCCCGGCGCCGACCGGACGGTCGCGTGTCTATAAACAAGTTGGCTTTTCAAGACCATCCATGGTCTTTATTGTCTCACAAAGCAAGACGAACATGAGATCAGTAACTCTTTTATTTTCTCCCGTCCAAGTTTGTTTTTTCTACCTTATTTGCATGTCAAGTCCCCAGAACAAAGAAATTGGCACTTTCACTTCCGGACAATACTATGTACATTTCGGAAGCGGCTGCAAAGTGAAAAGTGGGTCGACGCCGATCCGACCCGTTTGCCCCGAATCCCGGCTGCTTGTTCGGTTTCTTGGCTGCGTCATTCTGCGTGTGTAAAATTATTTACATACATACTTCGTACATACATACATACATACACACTTGCACTTGCATGACAGCAAATCATGTTTCGTTGCTCATCTCATTTTTAATGCTTCAATACAACTGAAATGCATTCTTCCGCTATCTATCAAAGAGCAAAGGCCCCATTGTGCAAGCACAAAATATAAATGCTGCGAAACTTGCTCCATTCGCCGTCGCTGCGAGTCTCTGGGGTATGTAACCATCATTTTCCAGTAAAACCAAACGCCATTCCAATGCGAAGTTGTTCATGCAGGGTCTTCTCGCCCCATCGTCATTTGCGTCTTCTCCCTTAAAAAATCATGACTTCAGTCTGTGTGCCCAGCTAGCTAGGATTCCTTGCAAGGATACAAAATCCCATGGTCCCTCTAGTCCACAACGATGGTCTCGTTGCCTTCTTTGTAATCTTCCTTAGATCGATTACGCTGTCCCACGTACTTGACACTCACCACCGTCTCCTCTTGCCGCTGTGATGTAGCTCCCGAAAACATTCCGCTCCTGTGGCCTGTCTCCGTTGTCTGCGAACTCGGAAATTTGGTTACAGTGTAATCTTTTCTAGGACTTTTTTGAGACGAAAGAATCACCGCGATATTAGTGCTTGGTGATCGAAGCGTCTGATGCGCCTCGACAGAACTTCCTCTTGTCTCAGAATTGAGTCTCGAAGCTTGCTTGCGTGGTGTGCGTCTGGTATTGGGGCTCTTGGCCTGCGCAATATGGTCCTCAAGTTCTTTCATCAACGATGGCGAGCCATCCGCCTCGTCATGCACCTCTACAGGATTGTCTGATGTATGGCCACGTAATTCTGGAGACTTGATCCCATGAATGAACCCCTTCTGAGTATCGATGCTGCCTGACCGCTTAGGTGACAAGGCCATCTGCTGGCTGCCTGGAAATGATCCTGGCATGGACGTGCTTGCCTCACACGGCTCTTTCGTCTCACCATGAGCGTCAGTTTTCACACGAGATTCTGGCAATATCTTCTGCGGGTCATTGTCTGCTGGTACAACCTCATCTGTCTCGATGCTTTGAGCCATAGGCCGAGGTTGAAGTATTGAGGACGCGTCAATAGTGTCGTGTTTGATTGGCTTCTGAGGCGACACTGTATCTTCAGATGACGATGCTTGGGTACCTTGAGTCGCTGCAGAGCTTGAGATTGCCAGCGGCTCCTTGTCATCACTTGCGCTTGACGTTGGTCGGCTTTTATTCCTCCTTTCTTCCGCAGCCTGGCGTTTTCTCTGCCTTTTGGCTTCCTGCTCAGCATCCTCTCGCTTTTGTTGCTCGGCTTGCAACATAAAGATCAGGTTCCTGATTTCATGTCGCATATCTGAAGATACGAAAGACCACGTCGGTTCATCATAATGTAGCAGTCCGTGCACAAACGCGTCCGGGTTCTCCAGGAAGTGGCGAACATAACCTAGCAGGTACAAGCCGCAGTCACAATGATTCTCTTGAAGCGGAATTCCTTTTGCGGTCATGCCCAATGCGCCCGGGTCAGAAATTTCGATGCCCTTCTTGTCCTTGAGCTCAGCCATAAGATACTGCTTCAAATGGGTGCATGCAGGCGAGTGAGCTGAACCAAGCGAATCCAATGTGATGATCTTTGGTTGATTGGGATCATGGTGCTTCTTCGATCCTGGACCTGTCTTCTTCATCTTGCGGTGTGCACTGCTTGAAGGCGGGCTTCCTGGCTGGATCTCGCTGTCTGCATCAACATCGTATATCTCTTTCTCGGCAGCTTTGACTCGCTCGTCTTCATGTTGCGAGGTTGTAACTCGTCGTGACGCATCAGCATCGATATCAACACTACCTTTGGCGCTCCCTATTGACATCCTGCGCAACTCTGTTTCAACAACATGAGCGCCATCCTGCATCTCTACATCGGCTTCCGGATTGGTTGACTGGGTGTCAGTTATCGTCAAAACTTCCGTTTCTGGCTTTTCTGGCTTTTCTGGCGTCGTCAAGTCCAAGGCGACTGGCTTTGCTACAATGGGCGAAACTTGCTGTGATGGATCGAGCTTGGATGGATTGTAGATGATTGCCACATACCAATGCTGATACTCGTTGATGGGAACCACAATGAAATCCTTCTTAAACAAATCGACTTTGGTTGTCCAACCTTTGACCCCGTCATACTTAATGCCGGCACCGCTACGCGTGGGTTTGAGCTTATCATAGAAGAATGTGTTGTGGAAATGGATACGCTCTGCAACCTGTGGGTTTTCTTTCTCCAGCTTGTCCTGAAGGTATCGCAGGTAAAAGATAATCAGATTATCATTTAGAAACTCGCCCTCATCGAGCCTTTCAATGTCGTTTGCGTCCACGCTGGCTCTGTTCTTTCCTTGCGGAGGGAAGACCAAAGAGTTCCGCCAGTTTTTCTCTACCCATTCGGGGTTCTCCTTTGTCCACAACTTGGGCGTTGGTGGACTCTCAGCCAGTACGGCAAATCGTCTTCGAGTTCGAGATGCCGAAGCCTGGGGAGTTTCGGGGACCGAGGTGATTTCATCTTCATCATCGATAACCTCTGGAGCCTCTGTTGCTTGCTTTGTTGAACGAGACACGGACTTGCGCATGTCATTCTGGCTTACGAGCGTCTGCCGACGCGTGCGTTTGTGTGCCATGAGTTGAATATCCTCTGCAAGATGATCCTGAGCATCTTTGGGGGTATCATTGGGGCTTTTCGGCATCTTGTGTTTTGTAGACCTTTGCAAAAGGTGGTTGACTGTTTTGATCAACTTGTCTCCGGGAACTTCTTCCCTCTTGAGTAATACAGCTTCTTTCCGCTTCATTGTGACCCATTTTAAGAAGCCCGCCAAGTCCCCAGGCCCGTCAAATACCAAGTAGAGCTTGGGAAGACCTGGAGTTGTCGCATCGACAGACCGCTCAATAAGTACAGTATGATTGGCGATTTCATACTTTATAGAGTGAACTTTAGCCAAATTGACTTGCAGATAACTATACTCTGATAGGAAATCTTCGGTTGAGCCTCCCTCAAGTGGCATTGGGAGAAGAATAGTGCTGACATCCTCCGTGCGAAGCAGGCATTTCGGCTCACACGTTTCATGCGAATAGCTGTAAGCGCCTGAAACAGCCACTTTCAACTTGAGTCCCCTTTTCAATGACGATCTGACGGGACTGGAAAGATTGACGAGACTGTTGTCCGGTTCACTTTTGGTGTGTCTTGCATATTGGGGTGTGCGTTTAGAAGGGAAGCTGGTGGCTGTAATTACTCCTCGAGTCGATTCACTCTGAGAGTTCAAGACCCGTTTCCTGGAGCGTTCTTGACGATTTTGTCCAACTCCCTGAGATAAAGGGTCCGGACTTGAGTTTCTGGATAGCTTGACTGGGGGGCCTGGCAATTGCCCCGATGCTTTCCTTTTGGAGTTCGGTGTGAGAGCTTGATTAGATCCGTTCGGTCTAGATTTTGCGAAATGCTGACTATAACGAACGGTATCGCAATATCCATGTGTGTCATGCTCTCGATTTGACATCCCATTGGATACAACTAGGGCAGGTTCTTCTTCCTCCTCTTCATCACTGTCAAGAATTTGTTCGGGATTTGATGCCGAATTAACAGGCTTCTTTTTTCGCTGCCTCGTTTTCTTTGGTAGCATTGTCCGCTGTTCCATTGCGCGGTACTCATCCACGCGACTTTGCTGTACGGAGTTTTTGCCCATAGAGTGAGTGCTTGGAGGCCTGTAATTCGATGTTCCGCCCGTTGATTGAACGCTCGGTGCCCGTTGCCAACGCGGCGCAGAGTGAGTGCTGTTGAAAGAAGCCTTGCGCTCCGGGGGAGGCATATCACGGCCCATGTCGACTGCAAATGTGGCCTGAAGAGTCGGATATCTGCTGTCCTCGTTTTGATCGTCGGTTTCGACCTCATCGTCCTTGTCCTCGTCCTTGTCCCCGTCCTCGTCTACCCTACGTTTCTTCAATGGCGGATCTGTCTCGTCCCTGGCGTATGGTGCTAGTGGCAGCGACGAACGTGACGCTGGACTGTTGAGTGTGTTACTAGGAACGATGGCGCCGATTGATTTCGCAAGTTTGGAAAGCATCTGGAAAATGAATGGTAAGCTGGGGTGGGTGGTTCGCTCGGAGAGCAGAGAGCTTACCTTAAACCTCCCCATGATGAGCCCTCTCCGCTTCGCATTCAAAGGCGAGTTGGTACTGGGGGCATGAGGTGGTTCTTAAAGCTAAGAAGGTGCTGCCTAGAGAATATTGCGAGGGAAAGTGACGTGCAATCGCCTCAACGTGCGCAGCGAGATCGGCATGAACAGACGGGTGCGAAAAAATCCAGAGGTTGAGTACCTGCCGACATGCTCGAGAAATTATTGTTCGGTAAGGTGTATGCGAGTGTGTGACTTGACATATGGCACGTCAGAGCCTTTCTTCCTAGGTGATCTGCTGCAGGATGTGCGCCAGTCGCATCGTCGTTATCGAGGTCGTTGAGGAAACCCGGGTGTGCTGGGAAACACAGGAGGCCGCAAAAACCCTGGCTTGGGCTTTGGAAGGTCTGGCTTGATAAGAGATGCGTCACTCCGCAACCGTAGGGAGTCGGTCTGGTTGCAGACGTGGAGGGTCGGCAATAAACAAACAAACGAAGGAGTTGGTGATTTTCTCGACAAAATTCACAAAGTAAAGCAACGTCCTCAGTCGAATGGGAATTTCAACGGCTGCGCGGCTGCATCACCCCCCGGTCGCGCTAAAAATTCGTAGCCTCGCGGTCAGATATCTAGATACAGTGCTGGATTTAGCGGAATAGTGGGGCGTTTGTCAGTCACTAAACTACCCCGCGGGTGACCTGTGATTTAGGTCGTTCTAGCCAAGCATTTATCTCTTCAGGGTCCAAACGGCGCATGCAAAACCGCTGCCCTACGCGTGCCTTCCCAGTATTATTAGTACGTGGTGCGTTTCCTATCACAGCACAGCAACCTCTGATTTATCAGTTGTCATTAATCACAGCCTTTGATTCACAGGCTCATGGATTTGTTTTTCAAGTCACTTGTTTTGCCGTTAACACATAGGTAGCTCTCAAGACATATTCAAATCTACATGCAGTAACAATAATTCATGTTGTGGAAACTGCTCCTTCGCATCAATGTACGTAGCTTGATAATTGATACAGAACTGCACGTGCAATGTGAGACCAGTTTCACTCCACAAAGCACGCATAAATAAAAGAATCAGATCTCCCAGACACGGGTCTTAGAAGCCGCACACATTTTCCAGAGAAAAGCGAAGTTGGGGTGCGAGAACAATACAAACATCTGTGCCATATAAGGTCTTTGCAGCCAAAATATCTTCTTGCACCTCAACCAAATCTGACAATGTATCACAGCATCTCCTTACTCACGACGAATTCATTGGGCGAATTAAATGTCTGAGCTTACATGAAGTTTTAGACATCAAGGGCCGACTGCCTCACTTGGCCATTTGTGAGAAGCTTGGACAGCAGGTCTCTGAGCTACGATACACCGGCCATGGGATATCTCTGATTTCTTGAGCCACTGGAAACTTCAATATGTTGATGAGCAGGGAAATATTGCTCATTCTTCAGCCAATGGTGGGGGGTTTATCGATTCTGTCCTTCTTCTGGAGTCGAAGGTTCTTCAATTACTTCCTCCGAAGGCCCAACACAAAAAAGTTTGGTCTTGCCCAATAGACAAGACCACGAGCCGCCAAAGGCATATTGGATTAAAGATATCGTTACTCAAGGTACAATCCGTCCTTTGAAGTTGATTATTTGACTTTTCCGCAAGTTGTCACACCAAAACAAGAGAACACAAATTACGCCGCCTCAATCGCGCATCGCTAGAGGCAAACCCGCAGATGACCCTGATCCCAAACCACTAGTGGCCGTTCCAAAGCATGACTTCGTTTGCATCGTACGTCCAGTCATACATCATGGATAGCCCCAAAAGCCGAATTTTCCAATCGGTCTACCCAAAAGTCTTTCACATTGATTTCATCCGCCCACTATTTGCGCTTCTGCGTAGCCTGAACCCGGCTCCGGATGGCAAAGGCATCGCTAATGTCGGCAACAGCAACCCAAACGGCCCAGGCGGGGATGACGACCCAGAGCATGTTGAAGAAGACGAGGTACACCCACTTGTACATGAAGTTGCTCGTGTCGAGGTTGTTGTTGTGGACAAGCCACTCGGGGCAAAAGGTGATGAAGCCGCCGTAGAGCTCCATGGTCGCCACGACAATGATGAGGATATTGGTCCGCGGGTCCTTTTTGGCAATGCCGTAGCAGATTAGGCATGCCAGCGGTCCGGCTAGGAATACGGTCAAGAGCTCGAGACTAATGATGGACTTTGAAGCAAGTTGCGTTAGCCGTCTTGTCCCTGTACTTGTTTATGGTCTTGTAGCACCACAATCATGAAGACTGGAAAAGTAAAATCAACCTACCAGATCAGCGCCAGCCCATCTCTTGTCTGCCTTGGCATATACCATCCACAGCTGGGCAAAGGGGTTGTCGCCAGCAGCCTGGGAGCCATAGGCGCGGTTCGTGTAGCCGAGAAAGTTGTGCGCGGTCGGGGCAAGGGCAAGCGGGTTCTTGACCGACGAGAGCGGCATCCAGGAGAAGAAGCAGTGGTAAAGGAAGCTGCCCTCGAGAAAAAAGTGAATCAGGGCGTCGAAAGCGTGCCAGATGAAGAGGCCGCGGTAGCTGGCCGGTGTCGATGCCGGCAGCGCCACCCGGGACCCGGCATAGGCGACGGCGAGGATGGCGACCGTTGACGCGAGCGAAACCAGCGTCGTCTGGTCAAACAGGTCTGGCGGCAGGTTATCGATAAAAGAGTCCATTGTGTCCGGGTCGTGATTCAGATGATCTGTGCGGTCTCGCGGTCGATTCACAAAAAGTCTGGTTTCTTTTCCTTGTCATAGAAGACGCGAAAGTAATAAGCTTCGAGAAGTTCCCCTTTCCGTGGGGTCCCCGCAACGTGAGACGGAATGATCCCAATCCGGTAATTCTGGTCTGTGCACGCGCATGGAGACATGGATATACTTGAGCATCCCATTCTCAACGTGGATTAGTGTTTCAAACCTAGAAATATAGACTTTTGTACTTCACAGGAGCAGTTGTATTGAGTCAATGTCAATTTCCATACATGCATTTTACAGGATAAGTCGCCTTCTCGTTCCACGGACTGCTGGGAAAATACCAACTTCACGGTCATGATCTAACAAGTCAATTAGTTGTATATACAAGATTCATAAATTAGTACGCCATTGACCCCCACTAGACGAGCTTCCATGAGCCGTCCTTGATCTCAATCTTGACCTCCCGGTCCTCATCAATGGCAATGCGGCCAGCATGGAGAATAGCCGTTGTAGCTATTGTGTTGGCTAGGGTCGGCAGACCACGTGCATCCAACTCATCGAGTGTGACAGTTCCTGCATTGAGGGCATTCACTGCATCGACAAACTTTTCAAACGAGATGTAGCCATAGCCAGTCTGGCCGTTGAAGTTTCCCTCCTCATCGGGGGCGTACTTCATATAGAAGGGGTTGAACCACTGCAGCTGTCCAGCCTCATCGTCGGCGACATCGTAGCCACGCTTTGCTTGGTTGATTCTCACCTCTCCACCAGAGGCCATGTAGTGAAAGTACTGGTTGCTGTGGACGCCGGCTTTCTGAGGCGCCGTCCACGATGCCGTGTAGACACCGGTGGCAATCTTGGAGGGATCGTCCTTCTTCTTCCACGTAACAAGCACAGTGATGGTGTCTTCAGTGATGGGATCACAGCCGAGGCTGGTAGCGATACCCTTGGCACCAGAAGCAGATACTTTGACGGGCTCGTATCCCAGCTGGGTGACCATTGAATCGTTGATATCAACGTGATGGCTGTTCAGGTAGTAGGAAATGTCCGAGTCCACACCGGCCCATGCCTTGAATGTCTCTAGCTGTGATTTCGGTTGCGACATGTAGGAGTAAAAGTAGTTGAAGTCGCCCAGCTTCTTGGCCTTGAATCTGGCATCGGCATAAGCGGGATCGAATCGCTTGTGGTGCTCGATGAATACAAAGACATTCTTCTTCCTGGCCGCCTCAATGAGCGCCAGGTGGTGATCGAGGGTCTTGACTGCGGGCTTGGTGATGAGCACGTGAATGCCACGCTCAATGGCATACAAGGCGATCGGGTAGTGTGTGGTGTCAGGCGTGAAGATTGTAATGGCATCGCCAGGGCTCAGAGCATCAATAGCGGCCTTGTAGGCATCTGGATCTTTGGCGTCATTGGCAGGGAACGAGTCGAACGAGGTGTCTAGGTTGTTGTACACTTTGGAAATGTTGGTATCGAGATGTTGTCCTGGATACGTGTTAGGCTCGGAAAATAAAAACACAAAGATGATGCAGGTCACTCACTGATGGCAGGAAACTTGGTGCCATTGGTACCCACCATGCTCAGCTTGCCAACCTTGCCTCTACGTCGCAAATCGAACAGCGTCAGACCAACAACGCCAACTTTCTTGTCTGATCCAGACGCGCCACCTCCCACGAAGCCGGTGGTATACTCTCCCGTACCAACCTAGAAATTGTCAGTATAATATACAGATTGCGGCATAATGAGAAAGACAAGAAGAAAAAACTTGCCATCAACACATTGACGAGCTTCTTTTCCGACGCCATTGTGAATGAGTTCAATCTGGTCTGCTTTCCGAACTCTTTGGGTGCGACAGTAATGTTTTGGCAAAGTCAATTGGATCACAGTAGAAGAAAACCAATATGACGACAGTGGAAAAGAGGCCGGGGACGTGAAATGAGAGGCAGGAGATATCGTCTTATAAGGCGCACCGTGTAGTAAATACACACAGGCTCTTCCACTTGGAGCTCTAAGCTATGGCTGGGCAACGAAATCGTCTCTTCTGGTCCGGAAGAATTATGAGGGGTAGCTACTGATTCGCGCAGGTTTAAAGTAGACCCAATTTCAAGGGTTCGCCTGCCAACTACTGCAGCTTCCCGGCCTTCAGCAGTGGCTTTCATGAAGGATTTCTGGACGGGATAATTGTATCGGTGAAACGCTACAATTCCAGGGTCTACACCCAACAGCCTCAGAATTGCGTTACCAAGCGACAGATTTATCGTCCAACATACCCAAAGTGAATCTTTGATTATGCAAGCCTAGTAGCAAAGTGACTGCGCCTGGGGTGTGACAATGCCAAATGTGATGAAAAAAGTATACCTCTTTCTCCCTAATGTACACAAATGCTCGACCCCTCTCGAGGACAAGAGCACTGTTGGATGCCTTGAAACACGCAGCACATGACGACAGCATCGTCTCTCTGATTCCCATATACTTGAACAAGTCGCCGACATCGCTCCGCTTTGGCACGACTGACGATACATTTTCAGGGCATTTTCTTGTACAGTCGCAGAATACCCACAGTTCTGAGAAAGAGTCGCCGAAATCAACCCCCCAATGTCTCAACAGGCCCACCATGATCGAAAGACCAGCTTTTGTTTTCCACCCCGCGGGATCCCGCCCCCACGCCAATGGTCAACGACAGCTTTTGGGCCCGGGCTTTGCTCCGGTATTTACCCCGCATTCATCGAATACCAAGACAGGATATGCAAGTCAAGGTGTGTATCAAATAGAATTCACCCGGTGCTGCTGTTCATTATATCCAAGGTACTTGAGTTTGCTTCTATAGACAGAGTCATGCAGTATGTAGCTCACGATCAGCATGAAATCCTTTATCGAGTTGGGTGAATTGACGCCATACAACTCGCATCTTGCGCCTACATGGTTGACAACCTGGAAATACACGATCAGCACTAAATTGGGCTGGTCATAACCCGGGTAAGGTGAGGTTACCGTCTATAGCCGGCGATAGTGTCTTATCCAAAACGCAATTCATTCACACGTCATTGGTGGAATAATTTCAATAATTCTTCCGTCACCACCGATCTCCGGGCCCAGACTTCATGCAACACCTGGATGTCGAAACGTCGTCTATTGTTTTCTTAGCGATTTGGAACTCATTACTACTCGGATGTACCAGGTTAGCTAGTATTTTGTCTGCACCTGAGCAGCCATTCTAATTCTCCGAACGTCCAAGACTCCATGGGCACTGATCAGCAACCACCGTACCATGCTCCTGGGATCCCCAAGGTGCTTGTCCAACGTTAAATACGTGCGCCCATGCCGACAAGCCGCGCCCCACGATGATATCCATAATTGACGACTTGTTCAGGTAGGTAAATTTATGGTCGGTCATGAGGATATCAAAAAAACCTTGCCCATGTGTCTAACTAGGGCAAGCTTTGGTGCATGCAAGTGTTATCGCGAAACGGTGAGTGAAAAGCCCAACAAGCATTTCGAACCACCAGTGCCGTTCATGCGTGGCACGTCGTGGTCTTCTGCACCTCTCAGGAATTCACCACCAAGATCAGGTCAATACTTTTTTGAATTCCCAAAGGCATGATCCATTCTCGGAGTCTGCCAAGACGATACCTAATTAATAACGGCCAGTAGCCGTATCGTCTACTGCTGACAGTGCTGGTGGTTTCGTCTGCGGTCAGCATCTGACATGTTACATACATTTCAACGTGCTGCAAACCTTCTTTACGATTCAATTTGCAGATTCTGAGACCTGCTTGTTGAATGACCGCCCATTCCGCCACGTCTGCAGTGTTACAAACCCCAGATCGAGGAATCCCTGAGCCCTGTCATGGTGAGTAGAGCATTGGTCTAAACACGACTATGCGTTATTTCCTGGTTTCTCGCTACACAATACGTACGCCCCATCAATATGGTTTTTGAACGCATCGTCGTTCCCTGCTTACCACCATGTACAATATCACGACTTCTTTCAAGGTAGTCAATAATCACATGACAAATGGACTTGCCCCTATTCTTACTACTATTCAAATGTTGTATCTATTGCTCCTACATTGGTATTTCCATATTAGCTCAATCATGTGCGCAGGCCCTCCGAAGAAGCAAGCCGAGTGGTCGGCGTGTTTCGGACCATGATTGGAGCGAGCCTTCAGACTTGCTGGGAGGTATAATTCAAATTTGTCTCATTTTCGTACTAGTCTTCCCCACGCTTCTCAACCCATGGGACGGACTCGCAGGAGCAAACTCGATTAGGTGATGAAGACGGAGTCTCTCTCCTCGCCCAGAGGCCAACCTCGTTGCCACTTTCCATAAATACTCTCTACATCCCGTCTTCTTGTGTGACCTTTTATACTCCTGGTTGATCATTTCACCATCTCCATAACCCATCTTCCAAATAAAATCTCCTCTTCCAAGGCGTGCATCATCCTCTACGACCACCTATTCCCTGTCTAGTATTTATACACGTGCTCTCTATATCATCATGACTGCCAGTAACGGCACCGCTGCCAATGGTAGCGGCTCAACACGCCGACCTCTGCCGGTCGGCATCTACGCTCCTACCATGACATTCTTCGACCCAGACACGGAAGAGATTGACGTGCCAGTCATCAAGAAGCACGCAGAGAGGTTAGCCAAGGCCGGTCTGGCCGGTCTCGTGACCATGGGATCCAACGGCGAGGCGGCTCACTGCACCCGCGAGGAGAAGCTGGCCGTGACCCGGGCCACCAGAGAAGCCCTGGACGCCGCCGGGTTCACGCAAACGCCCATTATTGTCGGCGCCACCGAGGGCAGCGTCAAGGGCACCATTGAGCTGTGCAAGGAGGCCGAAAAGGCCGGCGGCGACTACGTGCTGCTGCTCCCGCCGAGCTACTTCCGGGCGCACGTGGACGAGGCTGTCGTCGAGAGCTACTTCCGGGCCGTGGCCGACGCGAGCCCGCTGCCCCTCATCTTGTACAACTACCCCGGCGCCGTCGCCGGCATCGACATGGACTCGGACCTCCTCATCCGCCTCGCCGAGCACCCCAACATCGTCGGCACCAAGTTCACCTGCGGCAACACGGGCAAGCTGACGCGCGTCGCCCTGGCCACCAACGCCAAGACCCCCTTCCAGGAGGGCAGCGGGTACATGGCCTTTGGCGGCATGTGCGACTTTACGGTGCAGACGCTCGTCTCGGGCGGCAGCGGCATCATTGCCGGCGGCGCCAACGTCATGCCAAAGGTCTGCGTCAAGGTCTGGAACCTGTACTCGGAGGGCAAGATCCAGGAGGCCATTGAGCTGCAAAAGGTCCTGTCCAAGGGCGACTGGCCCCTGACCAAGGCCGCCATTGCCGGCACCAAGCAGGCCATCCAGAGCTACTACGGCTACGGCGGACACCCCCGCCAGCCGCTCAAGCGTCTCGAAAAGGCCAAGGTGTCGTCCATTGCCGAGGCCATCTCAGAGGTCATGGAAGTTGAGAAGTCGCTCTGAGAAAAACTACTCGTTGGTCCAAGAGATCTAGCACTTCCTGGATGTGGTCAAATCTTGCCTACAAGTCCCAAACAGTAAAGAGTTGGTGCAAAGGAAAGCAGGGTCAGTAGAGCATTGCCCGGTGCCCGGCTTCGTGGCCCTGTTTCACGATATTAGCATTGTTTAGCATGTCATGAATGATTTAACGAAATATTAAAATTTGCCGTCAATGACCACAAAAGTTTACAAAGAAGAAATGTATCGAGAAGCCAAGAAGAGGACATAACGCTGACGTGGAGTGAAAATGACATCAAAACATATCTGCATACCTCATCGACAAATCGTCATGATGGCCATCTGTCTTCTATAATCAGCGCGTTCCTAGGCCTGTACAAATAAATGTACACATCTCAGCCCATCGACAGGGGCTTACAATAATGATACCAAGCCTATCATCTTACGCATTGCCCCGTCGTATATCCATGAGGAGTTTTTGAACCCGATTGCAATCAAGACAAATACTTACTCATTTCATGCGTCGCTCAGCCTATTGGACTGGTTATATAGTGTCTCGTGCTTCATCAGCTTACACAGGCCACGCAGTCGAAAGGAGACACAATGTGCACATTTGACTAAGGCTAGTGTCTGTTCAGTATGCTTCTACTATTCCTTTACTTTCATATCTCCTTGATGAATACCCATGAATTGCTATTTGCAGTCGAAGAAACCAGTTGATACACCAGAGTTCTACAAAACTGATGCTTGAATACTACAAGTAGTGTGAAACTTGCAAAGTTTTTGATTTCACACTACGGTGACTGTTGTTGTTCTGTTGCAACGACTTTGAATCGCTGAATAAGAAGTCGAGTTTTACGTCATAACCACAATGGGAAGTTCGCCTATGAAATGAATACAACGACAACGAGAGCCCCATGAGCAAATTGGCTGATGTATCCTCCCCTCAAGTCACGAACGATCTCTGCTCTTCATGCACCGACCTTGTACTGCAGTGGATCTAATTCGCTTATGTCTGCACTCTTCGCTTCCCCATCGAGCAAGAACTCGCTCATCAGCTTTCCAGTAGCTGGCCCGTTTTGAATGCCCCAGCATGTGTGTCCAGAAGCGATCCACAGGCCCGTCACAGCCGTCTGGCCGATGAGCGGGTTTTGCTCTTCTCCGTCCCTCATGTGCCGTGGAAGGTAGCAAGCTTGCTTCACCGGCACGGGCGCTGCAGCAAGGACAGGACTTACGGTTCCAAGATAGGCTACGAGGTCATCGCATTGGGCCTCGTCACACTCGACAAGATCCGCCGTTTCAGGGAGCGGTGCCCCGGGGTCTGGCTCGCCGCAGGCATATGCCTCGCCTCCAGGTCTAGCGTAGACCTCGGGGTCGACATTGCCTCTATGTTGTCTCTTTTCGCCCCTGGCAGCTCGATGTGGGGGAATCCAATCCCGTGGCAGGGAGATGTTGGTGAACACAGCATAGGGGGTGACGTCGGCCTTGAACACGACACTGTGCGCCCTCAATCCTTCGACTGATGAGCTGGGCATGAGCTGGCCGGTCCATGGCCCCGCTGCAATGACAACGTCCGTCACGCCCGTGATGGCTTTTATTTCTTGTGTCGTCCTGTCCAGATACTCTACGGTTTCAACTTTTGTGCTAGTGGCATCAAGCTTCACTGATGTGACCTTTGCGTTCAGTATGATCTGGGCACCTTGCTTTTCTGCCAGGGCGGCGATGGCAGTGGTGAACTGAAATGGATGAACCTGAGCGGTTTCGGTAAAGCCATGCCTTCCCATCTCCGCATACTCTTTGACGAGACCACCTTCTATCCAGTCCAGATCAGACGGCAACTTTGATTTTTGCAGCAACTTGGCGGCAGCCTCATCTTGCTTAGGCAGTTTCTCCCAGTCTTTCGGTTGACCGTCCTTGAGCTTGGCACTTCGTTCACTTTGCCGCGTCGGGATAGCGTTGGTACCCGTACCATTCAAGTCGCGAGCCCTCACGGTCGCCGTGATCGTTCCGCAGCCTACCTTGCGATACCCCCATCGCTCCACGCCACCGTGCTCAGCTGCCAGCTCTGCATGTAGGCGGTAAGAAAGGTGCACGAGACATTGTGGATACGCCCAAAGCCCCAATAGACCGCCGGCCTTGCCTGATGCGCCTGCTGCAATAGACGTTGCCTCGAGAATAGTGATGCGATGTATTATCGGGTCAAAGGAGGGATGTCGGGTCAGATAGTACGCAGTTGTCGACCCAATGATTCCTCCTCCTATAAGCTCCGTCAGAAAACCTTGTTTGTATGGTGCATAGCGAAGGAAGTCTATTTCGAAGGGGCTTCGTCTTTGATCAACATGTCTAGTCTTACTATGTATAGAGGAGGGCGAGGTTGATCAGGTGTCCAATATGCAATACTCACCAACAATGACGATATTCCTGGGCCGAGGCTCCATCTGCGCCCTATACTCGTCTCGTGCTAGAGGATGTCGAGTATAGAGGGCGCGCACGATAGGTATTCAGATATTCACATGCACAGAGTCGTAGGAGTGGATGTCTATCAGCAGCAATCCAAGACCATTGGGCTGTAATCAGTGGACTGGGCTGGTGGGGGCGAGGGGCAAGTCACGGCAAGAGCTCGCGCCATGGTGGGATGATGCAATCCGCGGGAGCATTTTGGGGCCTGGACAGGGTCCCTAAAAGAACAGAAAGACGACCCCGCGGCGGGGTGATTGGTGAATAGCTATCGAGCTTATCGGGCAGCTTTCAGTGGGTAGACGGCGAGTGAGTGCATGGCTTTTTAGCAGCTTTCATCCGGTGCAAGGTACCCGAGCTTGGTTATGTTTTTACAGTGGTTCGTTTACCGTGGCGAGCCGCTGTCAACTCATTACTAGAGCTTTGCAGATCTCCAGTTTGGATATCGTATTCGTAGTAGTATACGGACAGTGGTCTTGTCACAATTCGGCGATTCAGCCAGCCGGCGGCGCATGGGAAAATTGCATGAGCGGGCCCAACGTCCGCACGCCCGCACGAAACGTCGGGGTCGAGAACAACTGCAATCCCACTTTGCTCGGGTCGTCGGGGCAATGGCAGCGCCCGAAGCCAGCCAGCCAGCCAGGCATGATCCAGAGATGATGCTAATCGATGATTCCAAAATATATATGGAATCAACAAAGCTTTCAATGAGGCTCTATTGAACGCTATCGATGGAAATTAAAGGCTGATCTCAATTGCTATTTATGGTAAGTTTTTTCTTTGGGGTGGTGGGTTATTATTCCACGGTGGAGAGGAACTAGTAGTTAGAGAAGAGACCCGAAAGAACAAGGGGACGCGTTCGTTGAGTCAGCAGCCCGATCAGTCAGCCAGTCAGCCAGGATCTTACCCGTCCTGAACAGGTGAATTGGCAGAAACCGGCGCCATCAATGCACCCGTCTAACCTCCCTAGTAGTTAGTAGTTGGTAACTGTATTTGATCGACTGTCTTTTCAGTTAGCAAACCTCGGGGATTGCAGATTAGCTAGTTGCCGAGGCCCACGTCACTACTGTTTTGAGGGTCCGGAACCGAGTTTCGTTTCGATGCGCGACAGGTCGGTCACAGACATCGGCGCAGCCCATCGATCGCATGACTGACTGGTAATCCGTGGGTGTGTCTCTGTGTCTGCCCATCAGGAATCTTATCCTCCCGATTTGCCATGCTGCAGCCGAAACACAAAATCTGCTTTCAAACCCGGGGCTTCCTGGTTCTTGGTAACAGCAAAGGTCCGATCACCGCGCCCATCGCAGCTCACAGCCTCCCGCTCATAAGAAGTCCCTCTCCTCCTCCTCCTCCCTCTGCTTCCCACGTGCGACTCGAGTTTGTCCGCTATTTTCATCGTCATACCAAGAGATACCCCACCTTAATTAGATACCCACCGCCATCGATCGTTTCCGTGAAATCGCATCGCGTCGCCGCTCTCATCACCGACCGCGACTCTGCAACTGCACACACATCAGCTTTTAAATCAACCCACCAGATACACACAAGTAGCAGCAAAATGGCTTCGGCAACAAACTTTTTCGACTTCAAGCCCCTTGACAGTAAGTAGCAAGTCCCTCCAAATCTATAGTAGCTGCCTGCCCCTCCATAAGAAATTTCAAATGCCATTCCCCTTGCATTACACATATACCCCGCAGCCACGATATTAGAGACCCAACTACCGAGTCTCCTTCCAAGTCGAGCAGGTGGGCTGACAGCGCTTTTTTCTTTTCCCGTCACATAGAGAAGGGAGGAGAGAAGGACCTGAACGAGTACAAGGGCAAGGTCGTGCTGGTCGTCAACACGGCCTCCAAGTGCGGCTTCACACCCCAGTACGCTGGCCTGGAGAAGCTCTACAAGGACATCATTGCCAAGCACCCAGACCAGTTTGTCATCCTCGGCTTCCCCTGCAACCAGTTTGGTAGCCAGGAGCCGGGCACCGACGACGACATCCAGAGCTTCTGCCAGGTCAACTACGGCGTGAGCTTTCCTATCCTGGGCAAGACCGACGTCAACGGCGACAATGCCGCTCCCCTCTACAAGTGGCTCAAAACGGAGAAGCCTGGCTTGATGGGCATCAAGAGCGTCAAGTGGAACTTTGAAAAGTTCCTGATTGGCAAGGACGGCAAGGTCAAGAACCGATGGGCCAGTACCACCAAGCCCGAGTCGCTCGAGGCGTCCATTCTGGAGGAGATCAGCAAGGAATCCGCCTAATTCGCCAAGGAAAGAACCCTCGTGTCTCATCTAAGTCGACTTTCCCATCCGTCTCAGCGTCTCTTCTTTGCTGGGGGGGTTTGTCATCGAGCAGTGATCTTCTCATGTGTGGCGAGAAATAATGTTTGATTCTCTGCCAATAGAAACAAACGCAGCTTTGATTAAGGGACGAATTGCGGCTGCGCAGGATGAGCTATAGTAGCTTGATTAATATAAAATCGTCTTGTCTCCACGTGGATCTTCTTCATCTCTATCAACGAGGCGGGCGTCTGGTACCGCATCGGGTAGCTCAAAGGTTCTTGCAGACGCCAGGTGTAACCTTTGCCATATTTTTGGGCCGCCCCTCTGAACATGGCCACGAAACTGATCTCATACCATGTCTCTGGCGCCACTGTCAGTTCACTCACGATAGCTAGATTGGACTTTCTGTCAGGGTCCAGAGCTATGGAGTTTTGTCGATAACGTACTGCACACGTTGACGCGTCGCATTGCCGCCTAAGAAAAAGGACTTCGTGATAGCCTCGAACACGCGGCCACAATGCTACTTTAGCTGTGGGCTATATCGAGCTCTTGTGGGTCTACCCTCAGCTCGATGCGAGCGGTCGTCGAGCGTTATGCCATCTATCATTTGCCCTAGAGCATCGCTACCTTGTAGAGCGTAGACGGCCCCCCAAAAATCACACCTTTTTCTCTCCATCTCAGCTTTCCGGCCTGCCGCGATACTACCTCGACAGCAGACCCGCTTTCCATCGCAGACTCGGATGGAACTCTCGCCTCTCGAGAGAGACTTGTTCATCTCTGCCCATTACAGCCTCGAAAAGGCCAGCATGACGCCGAGATCAGCTCTTCGCTTCGGCGTTACTCATCGGCACATCTAGACAGCCTCGTAGACCACTCTCCTATCTATCTTCTCCCCGCCGGCGTTCGACTTTGCCCGCCCAGTGTATATCGGGACAAATCAGTTGTACACTGTTTTATTGATCTGCGCATGAAGTTGAGTCACCAGACTTTACTCGGTTTGCTAATCCAGCCCCGCCCCGCGTTGACGCTGCAGGCTGCTTCTGGATGTGAAGCGAGAAGCAACAGCACCACCACCACCTGCATGATCATCACCCGATAAGAAGGGGGGGGGG